GGAGGGGAGGTGGTAGGGGGGGGGGCGCTGACCGGCCTTTCGCGGGTCTCTTCTCGCCCACCGGGTGCTCGGAGGTGTCTAACGAAATGCCCGGAACCGTCCGGTTTGTCCCCTCCTCGGGGCGCTTGTCAGGGTTTCCCCTCCCCGGGGGTGGTCGGACAGCTCCTGCCTTCCCCCTCCCCGGCTGTTATTTCACAGAGCACCTCTGCCCGTTACAGACAAGGCAATAAAGTGTTCCCCCCGGCCCCCTGCTTGCCTGTGGTCTTATTCATAAGGCCTTTTGATAACAGATGCTTGTATTTTGCGTGTCCACACCGCCCACCCCACCCCACCCCCCCCGTCAAAATTATTCCGTTTTCCAGTTCTGTAGCGTGTATATTTAATGTCTATAAAATGTCATGTGTAAAAAAAAAACGCTTGCCTTCTGAGGGGCGTTCTTACTAACCCCTATAGCAGGGCCCATGTGCGAATTTAGTAGAGAGCAACTTTCTCACAAGGCTGGGGATGCCCAAATGAAGGGGATTTTGATAGATCTCATATATCCCATCGCTGCAGTCCCAGGGGAGCAGTGTGTACATACAGATCGCCCGTGGGCTGTATATATAGCTCTCAGACTGAGGACCACAACAGGGCTGCCAGGTCTCCTTGATGGGTAAATGGGGTTTGTTTCATCCTAGCTTTATGAAAAACCTGCTTCTAAGCAAGCAAAGAAGGTGAACCCTGCAAATGGTTTCTAGTTTCGTTTTCCCAGAGAGGAGAATGATGTTGCTGATTTCTTCCTCCTCGATTGCGACAAAGCACTGTGTTAGTTTTGTACTTGTAAGATGACTTCTTACAAGCCTTTCAGACTTTGAACTACAGACTCCTACACTGCAACCATGGCATAATCCTGTATCTGAGCCACATCCAGATGGGCAGTGCCCTGCTCCTTTTTGCTTGCAGGTGCAGGAGCAGCAGTGGTTTTGACACTGGCCTTCACTGTGTGTTTTCTGTGGAGCATCCTTTGCCTCACTGGAGTGAGATCCCTAACCTGGAGGAATAAAATCATACCTTTGTATGAAGTGGAGAAGCTGTATAAGTAGGGAAGCTGTGAGGACTTGATGCGCCTGAAAAGAGTGCTGCTTTCATATACGGTTTTGCTTTCAGTAGCAGAGCCCGATTCCTTTTCTTCCCCAGTCTTCTATAGTTGCTTTAAATTCTGTAAGAAGTCATCTACCTTTTTTTCCTTTTCTGAAAAAAGCTGATAAAATAATGTCTGAAAATGGTATTCCAGTCATGGATTACATATGTTTATCTGCTGTCCAAATTGTTTGGGTTCACAGATATGTCATTAAACTAACCCTCTCCCCCGCCGAAGCAATCTTAGTGTCTGATTATATCTCTTCCAAACTTCTAGAACTACTTACAGAAATGTTTTCCTCTATTCTGTTCTTGCCTCTGCCTTTTCCTCCTTTGCAAAAACTTTAATATTGTGGGAAGGGATAAAACCAGAAATAATACTATTGTCAGACAGCACATGTGAGACCTGCAGAGGAGTATGTGTTCACTACAGCTCTCTGTAAGCACCCCTGAAATAGGGACTGGAGCTTTTCCGAAGACTGAATAAACTTCTTGCCAAGTGTGAGGCAAGACAGCTTTACATGTGGAGTGGTGCAAGCATTAGTGAGCAATCAGTAGTTCCTCCTTTTTTATTTGTGGGACACTCACAGGACAACATCCAATACAGCACAAGGTGGTGGTCTAAGAAGGGATTCTTTGCTACCTGTCTGGTTATTTAGTCAGAAGTGACAACCTGAGCAATAGGTTTACGTTTTTGTAGAAATCTAACCAAATTTTAAGCAGACTGTAAAAATCCAAAAGCAAGTTTCTCCAGAACTGATCTAACTGGAAGGTTTCACAGTGGTTCATCCACTCTTGCTGCAGGTGTCAGTATAGGATCATGATGTGTGCCTCGATGTTTTTGTTCTCTTCCGTGGTGAGCCCGAAGCTGAATCACAAGCTATGTTTCAAATTTCTGTAAGCATCTATGAATCACTCGAGCACATTAAGTTATGTGGGATCTGATCTGTGATTTCTGCTCTTCACTTCTGAGTACAGTTAACTCACTGAATATCGGTGAAAGTTTTGCCACTTTCTCTTGTTGCACAAATCTGATCTCTGCATGCAGATATGAGCATTCTGAGTTGACAACTACTGCCCTGAAGAGGACAGTGTGGATTTAGCTGATGTAGTGGTTGATGAACCAGCTTCTGCAGCAGCTATGGTGTAGAAGACTTGGAAAATATTGTTTAACAATGTGGGGTTTCTTTATAAATATTCTTCAATAAATATTTCTTTTTTTTTCTTCTAATGACAGGTCAAATGCCAAGACTTTCTAAGGTCAATCTTTTTACTTTGTTCAGTCTCTGGATGGAGCTTTTTCCTTCGGCTGAGCAACAGAAAAAATCACAGGTAAGCTGTCTGCGTTTACCATTAATTGGTCTTTCTGAACAGATGCTAATAGCTCATGCAGTGAATTTAACCTAACTGCTCTTTACATGACAGATAGTCCAGAGGGGGGAAAAAAAAAAGGCTGGTAAGCATTTTTAAAATATTTCTTAGACATGGAAAAAAATTCACTGCTGGGAGAAAAATAGCGAAAGGGTTTAATAGCATGCTATTTCTGAAAAACTTTAAAAGGCAAAGTATATCCCCAAAAGGTGAAGCAAACAGTAAAAAATGCTGGTGGGTATTTTGAAGAGCGTTAGAAAGGAGGCATGGTCTATACCATGTACTCCTTAGTATATACTAATTATCACTTTAAAATCAGTGTGGTTGATGGTGTAGAGATATTCTTTAAAATGTTGATGTTCATGATTGTAGATGAGTTCTCTTACGCAGTGGATGTGCACAGAAACCTTTGCTTATCAAGAACTTGTAGATAACTACCTTAGTGACAATGAAAAGAAACCATCCTTGAGAATGGGTCTTCTAAATAGCTGCCAGTTACAGTTCAAAGTAGAGGGGCATTTTCAGAGTGTCCTGGAACAGGGGTTTCCTTTTGCCATCAGAGTTCTTACTGTGCTCTTTAAAATGATTACTACTTTGTGTAGAGCATACCCATGTGCTAAGATCCATGACGCATCTATCAGCCAGGATAAGAAAAGATAGGAAGATAATTTGAGTGACAGTTAGGCCTAATTTTCAGAGTTTGGTATGTCCCAGACTAGATCTGAAAGAGAGGTAGATGAGCAGCACTTTACAGACTTGAAAAGCAGTTTCAAATTTAGTAATTCAGTTAGGAATGGCACTTGGGTTATATGTAGGGCTTTAGTACAGCCTCATTTCTGTAAGCACAAAGAAACTGAGTAATTTACAGACCTAGAGCAATGGTGTTCTGGTAGTAGCTGGATTGCTTAATGAGATTTGTTTCACCAGCTTCATGAAACTACCCTGTATCCAGTTTCCTCACAATACATGGGAATCCATATGTAAGAGCTCGCCTGTGGTATCCAGACCTTTTCCATGGAAGATTCTTTAGAACCAGGATTCGTTTCTATAAATGAAGAGACAGAACAAAAGTTAGAGAAGCTATTGGCTCCCAGGATGGTCAAGCTTAAGACAGAAATTAAATTTATGAGCATTTCCAGACGTTGGATGATTCAGATGGATTTTCAGCTATAATTGACAGAAGTTTCTATGCTGCTTCTGGGTTTTGTTACGGGCAAAGCAATGACCAGAAAAATCAGGAATTTGCAGCAAGTCTACCTGGACTTCAGCAAAGCAAAGTCTCCCACAGCATTCTCCTAGAGAATGGCCTAGACGGGTGTACTCTTCACTGGGTAAAAAACTGGCTGGATGGCCGAGCCCAGAGACTTGTGGTGAATGGAGTTAAATCCAGTTGGCGTCCGGTCACAAGCTGTGTCCCCCAGGGCTCAGTTCTAGGGCCAGTCTTGTTTAATATCTTTATCAATGACCTGGACAAGGGGATTGAGTGTGCCCTCAGTAAGTTTGCAGATGACACCAAACTGGGTGGTAGTGTTGATCTGCTTGAGGGGAGGAGGGCTCTGCAGAGGGACCTGGACAGGCTGGATTGATGGGCCGAGGCCAACTGTATGAGGTTCAACAAGGCCAAGTGCCGGGTCCTGCACTTGGGTCACAACAACCCCATGCAGTGCTACAGGCTTGGGGAAGAGTGGCTGGAAAGCTGCCTGGCGGAAAAAGACCTGGGGGTACTGGTTGACAGCTGGCTGAGTATGAGCCAGCAGTGTGCTCAGGTGGCCAAGAAGGCCAACAGCATCCTGGCTTGTATCAGGAATAGTGTGACCAGCAGGAGCAGGGAAGTGATCGTGCCCCTGTACTCGGCACTGGTGAGGCCGCACCTGGAACACTGTGTTCAGTTTTGGGCCCCTCACTACATTGCATTGCTGGAGCATGTCCAGAGGAGAGCAACCAAGCTGGTGAGGGGTCTGGAGCACAAGTCTTGTGAGGAGCAGCTGAGGGAACTGGGGTTGTTTAGTCTGGAGAAGGAGAAGCTGAGAGGAGACCTTATCGCCCTCTACATCTGCCTGAAAGGAGGGTGTAGCGAGGTGGGGGTCGGCCTCTTCTCTCTGGTAATGAACAATAGGATGAGGGGAAATGGCCTCAAGTTGCGCCAGGGCAGGTTTAGGTTGGACATTATGAAAAATTTCTTCACAGGAAGGGTTGTCAGGCTCTGGAATGGGCTGCCCCGGGAGGGGGTTGAGTCCCCATCCCTGGAGGTATTTAAAAGACAGGTAGACGAGGTGCTTAGGGCCATGGTTTAGTGGTGGGATGGCAGTGTTAGGTTAAAGGTTGGACTTGATGATCTTAAAGGTCTTTTCCAACCTAAACAATTCTATGATTCTGTGATTCTAAGTCCTTATTTGAAGTTTGACAGGGGCAGAGCACGCTGATATTAACAGGCAGACGTAGAAACCATAAAAAAATTGCTTGGGGGAAGTGTAACAGAGATTGTTTAATGATTCATACTACAATTTGTACTGAAGAGCTGTATGCTCTGATCCTGGCTGATTACTGTTACCCAAGGAATAGCTGTAACTTCTCTGTGGAATTGATGTTGGAAAAAAAGTAAAATAGTAATAATAGTAATGTATTTTTCTGTAGGTAAAGAAGAGTGGTCTAGTTGTGGTGAAAAACATGAAGATTATTGGTCTTCATTGTTCCAGTACAGACTTGCATGCTGGCCAGATTGCACTCATTAAACACGGATCAAGACTTAAAAACTGTGATCTCTATTTTTCCAGAAAACCATGTTCAACTTGTTTAAAAATGATTGTAAATGGTAAGCAATGACTGTAGTAGAGTAGGAGTAAATGTTATGCTTGTGATTGGTGGTGTCAGAAAGCCTGTTTCCTCTTTGGACTGTCCCAGTTGCAAATGCCAGTTCCTAACTTGTGTAGCCTGCACTGATATTTTCCACAAGGCTGGAAACAGTATTGAATGTGCATTTCCTGGCACTGATGATCAAGAAACTAGGGTTTGCTACTGAGACCCTATTTCTCTGTGCAACTATTACTATGGGTGGTGCTTGTCTCTTGGTTGGGATGCACTGCTGAGATTCTGACATGCCTGTTGCACTTTGCCAGAGCAGCCCTAAGCCTGATGACTAGGCCTAGATTGCCACATTTTTCCTTGCCCTCCCATTACTCATCAGTGGCACCAGAGGAAGGGTGGGTTTTATGCAGAAATCACAAGAAGTACTTTAGGGTTTCCTTTCCCGGGTGAGATGAAGACAAGTTAGATTATTCACTTCCTGAAATGGGATCTGCTGGTACAGCCCTTCTGCAAATACTGTTTTTTTAATCTCAACATCAACTTCTGATAGTGCTAACTTTTTTGCATGGTGCTAATGCATCTGTTGTAGGCAAGATGCAAAATTTCGCTGACACAAAGATCTTAGAACTTAGGAAATTCCAATTTTTGTCTAAAGTCTGATAAGCTCTTGATACTTGTATATGCTAGCTTTTTTGTTGTCCAGACACCACTGAAACAGCACTCACAGCCGTGAAGGAGTAAAACCAGGGTTAGGCAATAGTGTGTTGAAAATGAAGTTTATGTTCCACTGTGCTTGCATGGTTCCTTTTGCTGCATTATCTTCTCTTCCAGCTGGGGTGAACAGGATTTCTTACTGGCCTGCAGATCCTGAAATCAGCTTGCAGACTGAGGTGTCCAATCCCATGAGTACTGATGATGCGAAGCTAGATGCCAAAGCAGTAGAAAGACTGAAGTCAAATAGTCGTGCTCGTGTGTGTGTGTTGCTTCAGCCCTTGGTGTGCTATATGGTGCAATTTGTTGAAGAAACTTCTACCAAATTTGATTTTATTCAAAAAATAGCAAAATCTCACCCTGACTCGAATACTGACTTTTATACTGCATGTAGACAAGAGAGAATAAAAGAGTATGAAAGTATATTCCTAATTTCAAATGAGGAAACACACAAGCAAATATTGATGACAATAGGACTGGAGAACCTCTGTGAAAATCCGTACTTCAGCAACCTTAGGCAAAATATGAAAGATCTTGTCTTAGTCTTGGCAACAGTGGCTGCCAGCGTCCCTGTCTCTGGATGCTTTGGATTTTACAACAGTGAATCACAGCAAACAAATGAGACGGACCATCAGGGTTTGCCCCAGGAAATTGCAAGGCACTGTATGATACAAGCCAGACTGCTTGCATACCGAACAGGTGAGTTGTTACAGCAGTGGAGGAAGAATGGATTTCATGAGCAGGGCAAGTTCCTCATTTCAGTCTTACTTCTTCCAAATACTTCCTTGAGCAAGGTGCTGAATTCCATTCCTACATCTGTGAAACAGGAGCAGCAGTAGTAGTAAAAAATCCACAGGGGTATATTGTATTGTGTGTGAAAGCACTGAGATTTCCAAGGGAAAATCAGGGCAGGTATTTATCATACGGTGCCAGCAAAGCCTGCCCTTACAACATATCCAACACCCATCTGAAAATAGAATACGATGAAATTTAAATTCTTCAAGGTGCTCTGAGGCTCTTTTATATGGAGGTTTCACAAGATGTTTCTGTTATCAAGTAAATGCCAATATTATGTACGCTTCTTCATAAAAGAGCAGTGAAATAATATCCTTCCAGTAGGGCATTAAGTACAATTTATATTAAGTTTCCTAGTTCCAGTCTTATTAGTGAAAGTGATTATATATCTGATGGGGTTTTCTTTGCAAAGATGCTGGAGTTTTGATATACAGGCTTTCAGGGTGGAAGGGTAGTCTTTTGATACAGATGCCTTCTGTTAGCTACTTTATTCTGTCTGGGTAGCAATGCAGTAAACTGGTGAGTTCTTCCAGAGAATAGAATACGAAGACTTAAAACTTGGTGGTACTCCTTAGTGATTTTTTTTTTCATCTAGATAGGATAGTTGCTTTTTCAAAACCCTTTTAAACAAATAGATAGTACATATTTAAAGCTTAAAATAAAATTAATCCCCCAACATGCAAACACAAAACCAACCTATCAAGTCAGGTGCTGAATGTGCCTTTTGACTTGTTCAGACTTTGTTATTTGTAAAGGTGAATCTTCATGTTTTAGAACCTTACCCTTTTCTGGTTGTGATGGTTTGGTTTTTTTCCCCTGGTTACCCTCCACAAATTTGGTCACCAAAAGTTGCAGAGGAGATTGCGTTTTTAGAATTAATTCAGAAGTTTCATGGAACCAGTTGCGAGTTTTTTGTACAACTGCTGTTGTACAGAGCAAGATAGAATGACCAAGCTGAGTGTTCATTCTTGGGGCAGCAAAATTCAGTTTTATCTGTGCTGTTCAGCCTGGACTCAAGTCTGGTTTTTGAGCAAACCCTTATTCCACTTTAGTCCTCTAATGAAATTAAAATAAATAACAGCACATACTTTACATTATTATATAGGTGGATATAAGGGGAGAAAGATCACAGGATGTCTTCTATGCTGGCTTAATATACATCAGTGACTAATAAAAATGCAGAACATAAATAAAGTCGGCCCTCATAAAAACTTACCTTTGGCAGGAAAGACCCTCTTTGACTGTATATGGTAGTGATACTAGGATGTTGGAAATGGTTAATTGAAACAGCATCTTCTACATTATTAATCCCTGGAAGCCTGAAACTTTTTTTTTTCTCTTTTTTTTCATATGCTCTGCTTTAACTGGTCAAGACTCTCATCAGTAGCTACTGGGGAAGATTTCCAAGTGCCATAAAAAATCAAGTTCTGTTCCGGTTTTCCTGTGGTGGTGATAGGAAACATGCCCCAAAATCCGATTGTTAATATTTTGTAAACAAGAAGGTTTTTATCAGTTTGCCATCTCACACCAGTGAACCTGTCCACATATATTCTTGGCACACATTTTTTTATCTGATATATGTATTGGTTGTTTCTTAGCATTTGTGAACAAGTGTACATAGGAAAGTCTTAGAATGGCTGCCCTTGCTGTTAAAGCACACCCAGCTTTTGCACTAGGCTGATGTGACTTCGAAGCTCTTAATCTTTCTATGTTTTTTTTTTTCCTGTCTACAAAGCAACGAGTGTTATTCCTTACTCTAGGATCTCATATATTAATGTATATGTAACTCAGAAGTGCTTTATTTGTTATTTACTGCTAAAATGTTATGTATTTTAGAGGATCATAAAACAGGAGTTGGAGCTATTATTTGGGCAGAAGAAAAATCAGTAAGTATTGAAAGAGTTACTTTTTCTTGCACTCACAATTCATACGCTTGTATCTGCTTTGAGCTTGCTATTTTAAGTTTATACATGTGCACTTTTGATACACACGCATACTGCTATAGAAAGGTTGCACTTCTCATTCCTTACTAAGTTAATGACTGGTTCATTGATACGCTGCCAAGATGAAGGGAAGTATAAATGAGTTCAGTAACTACCACAGTGTCTCTGCCTAGCTTTTCAGGGCGCTTGCTTCCCTCGTCATTGTCAGCTATTCCAGGTGTCCTGGCTACAAAGTTTTGCCACAGCTGCTGATCAGGGAGCAGGTCCCTACTCTACATCCCTTTTCACAGCTCTTTTTTAGAGGGGTCTCAGTGCAATCATAGCCTGAAAATTTCCTGAGGATTTTTGTTGCAGTTGAAATGCTGTACTGGCTTTAGCACATTCCTTTTTGGATCAAAGTGATCTTTTTCTACAAATATTTTTACAATGCTTTTTCCCATCCAAACACAAACTTTTTATTTCTTTGTATCTCTGATTATGCATGTTACCAATCCCAGGAACCCTCATTCTTCATGCAGCTGCACCATACTCTTTATTTGCTTTTAGCACTTCAGTCACCAGCTGCTTATTGCTGTTTTGTTTCTTGTTCTGATTTCAGTCACTGACTGCTACTTGGTTAGCCCACTAGTCACTGGGTCTGTTGAGAGACAGGTGAAACATAGTCTTTGGCACATCAGGGACTAACTCCAGCTATCTTTAGTTTTGTACATTGCAGAAAGGCTTAAGGACTACATACATCCTTCAGACTTTGTGTTCCTGCTCTCAGTATTACTTGCTAAAAGGAAAACCTCTAAAGCCTGGTGCAGTGTGTTGTCTGCAGTGTTACGCTTTGCCCATGCAGCTTAATGGAGTTTAGTGGAAAAGCTCTGTACAGGCATGGAGCAATTAGCAAGAGCTGAGTTCTCTTTTAACTGCTCTAACTTGGCATGAACTGATAATGTGAAAGTATACAGCGCACAACACTTTGACTTAGTACTGGGTTTACATGTCTCCAACTTTGGTGCTTTGCTTACTGTTGCAGAGAAGCTGTGATGGAACAGGAGCAATGTATTTTGTAGGTTGTGGTTACAATGCCTTTCCTGTTGGATCTGAATATGCTGATTTTCCACACATGGATGATAAACAAAAAGATCGGGAAATCAGAAAGTTCAGATACATTATACATGCGGAGCAGAACGCCTTGACATTCAGGTAATGGGTTTATTTTTACCACAGAAGAGAATGAGATGGTTCAGAAACAATTCCATGACAAATGCATGATGTTACTGTGATGAAGTGTGGATTGCAATCACAGTCTTGTTTATGCCCATGATGCAGAACTTGGATGTGCATGGACAGTCAGCTCCTGGGGTTTCTTCAGACTTGTTAAGTGAACTTGGTTTTTAAAGGATATTTGCTCCAATGCATGGCAGCTATGCTTCAGATATGAGCCGCTGCCTCTGCTTCCTGCTAGGACTATGCTATAACCTGAAATACGGAAGTGTGGCAATTGTGGAGGCTTCCGACAGTAATATGTGTGGAGAGGTGGGATGGGTGTTTTGTTCACAGATGGTAAAACCAAACCAGCTATCATTGTGTACTTGTGCACTTGATTAGGAATAAGTTGCTTCTGAGAGTTGATAACACTTCTTTGCTTGCTCTTGTGAGGTATCAGGTTCATCACCATTCAAAACTATCAAGATATAAACTCTGAAATTCCATTTTCTGACTGCTTGTAGGTGTCGAGAAATAAATCCAGATGAGAGAAGCATGATATTTGTGACAAAATGTCCATGTGATGAATGTGTCCCTTTAATCAAAGGGGCTGGTATCAAGGAGATCTATGCAGGAGATGTTGATGCTGGAAAAAAGAAAGCAGACATATCCTATATGAAGTTTGGTGAACTTGAGGGTGTAAGCAAATTTACAGTAAGTGTCTAAATGTACGATATGCTAAAAACTCTGGGCAGCGCTGGGGGGGGAGAGTGAAGTGAGCAGTCATCTGCAGTCAGCATAGAGGAGTGTTCTCATGTGCTGTTTAGTCACGTGAGTGGAATTGAGAGGTTGCTCTGTCACGACACTGGGAAGAAGTGCTGTGCCATATGTCAGATTGGGGGGCTGAGTGTGTCTGTTCTTCTGTAATTGCCCCACAGGTTTCCCTCTTACTCGTTGCTGCTGTTTGAGGTGGTCTCTTCACACTCTGAAGCTCTGTCTGAGCCTCCCTGTCACAGCATGGTAGCTGACGTGGGAGATCACCGTGTGGTTTTTGTAGACCTTTCCAGCAGCTCCTGAAAGAGCTGTGATGGGTTTTGAAGGCAGCCAAGCGCGCCTGCACTCAGGTTGCTCTCAATGACGAACTGCAGCACTGTCAGTTTGAGCAGGCTCGTTTCCCCTTCTCAAGGGAGTAAATGGCCACACGCCCCTTAACAGCTCTTTATCCTCAAAGCAAGTGTGTGTTGGAGGGGGAGCCCTTCATTTCCCACCTCGCCCCTAGTCATGCCTTACAGTGAAGGACTGAAGGGTACCTTTTTTTTTTTTTTTTTCCCTCTTTGCTCTTTCTTCTGGAGTGAGTAAACTTTTTCTTCTTCTTTTACCAGTGGCAAAAAAACCCATTGTACACTAATGCCCTTGAATTCCATGACCCCACAGCCAGGGAAAGTAAGTATTTTTTCATTAATTCATTTTATGGTTGGAGTCAATAAGAGAGATCAAGTTTTAAACAAACCTGAATCCCTATGGGATTGATTAGTCTTAATTAATCTTGATTTAGATGAGTTAAATTTTGCTATGAAAACTTCTCTGAGCTTTTTGAATAGATGAACTAATGCTAAGTTGAAAACAAGCTTCTTCTAACAAATGCTTGGCATTGGCGCACACATTACAAAATCTAGCAGTGCTATTATCAAGGTCGACAATATGCTGTTTTGCACATAGTCATTTCAGACTATCATGTTTTAAATTTTGTTCTATAAAGACTTGTTATATTGTGTTCTGTAAAGAGTGCCATTCTTTTTCAAGAGAAATTGGACTCCTCCAAGTCATTTAAACATGTTCTGCAGAACATTTCAGTGCTTCTTTTATGAAGTAGAATCTATGCCAATGCTTTTCAATCAACATTTATTTTTGTGTGTATATATACACATATATAATATAAAGGCCACAAAATCCTGTCAGCCTGCACCCCTGTAGCAAGGGAGCTGTCATCTTCTGAAAACAGAGTTTAGATGAATCTTACGTTGAAGCCTTATAGTGCTACAAAAGGGACCCACCACTGGCATCTACTGTCAGCTACCAGTCCTTAAAATGTTTTTCATCCAGAGGGGAAAATAATGTGGAAAAAGAAGCTAAATATTTTTTGTGCCTGAAGCATGAAGATACGGAGCGTAAAGATAGGGAGTTGGCAGTTACTCAAAGCACTGAGCTCCATGCTAGGAGCATAAAAAAGACTGAAGGTGGCTTTTGTAGCACATGAATACCCACGCACTTCATGCTAATTCCTAACACGCGGTGAGCTAGACTTGCGGAGAAGCATCTTTGTTAGGTATTTCCTCATGAGTCGGGGCGGCAAAGGGAGGAGGGAAAGGCTCAAGAGTAGTGTTTATGGCGTTAGTAATCACTGCAAAATGTTAGGGCTTGTTTGTCCCTCTCTCTACTACTGGTTTTTAGACCCAGCTGGAGGAAGATTCATCCTGGAGTACTTTGACAACCTTAAACAGGGCTCATTTTTCTAACAATGCTTTCTTCGAGATGGCATGCTTGCATTTGCAACGCTGAACTGGTTTAAGTTGCTGGTTTTCCTTAGTATGTTTCTTTTGCTATGATTATTGCATGTTCCTCTGTATGGGGAAGATGACAAGCTCCCCTGTCCCAACCCCCAGCCAGAGTTACTCCAGTGCGCCTGTATGTGTTGAGTATTTAGACTATGCTTGCTATTGTATTAATGTTTCACACATATTTTTTTTCTTTAGATGGGGTCCAGAAAACCAAATCACTAGATGACCAGCAGCACCAAAACAAGAAATTGTGTCTTGGTCACTACTGAATAATTAAGCACTTCTGCAGTCTTGCTCTGTACTTTTTATAATGCAGCCTGTTTGCACTTTCAAATGAGGAAGAGTTTTATTTATTGTTCGGAAAGTGGTTTTTAGAATAAGTTTATTTATGGTGTCTTAAATGTTTTACAGAATTACCTGAAGGTCTTTTTATTTTAGAAGTTCCTGGGGAAAAAATGCTGCTTGTATTTTCTGTGAAAGTAACTGTGTGGCTAATCATTGTTCACACATTAAAAAAAAAAAGGTACTGAAAGTTTATTGCTGGTAGATCAGAGCAATAATAAAGCAGTATCTTTTTTTGCTCGGTGTATGGATTGAGGGAGTGGATTTCTAAGGTCTGGGCTAGCAGAATGCAGAAATAAGCCCTACTTCTTCAACTACAATCATCAAGGGAATCTTCTAGGAAATGGTAGATAAGTAATCACTAGCGATTATTCCTGTCCTGAAAGTGGCTTTTGCTTCTCAGTCTGCTTGTACAAAGGAGACAAAGCCATTGGGGTGGCAGTCGTTGCTAGGGAAGTGATTTGGAGATTGGGCTTGCCTTTCATACATATCCTCTTCCAGCTACCATAGCAGCAGAGCTGTTTTGTTGTGTGGTACTTGCATTGCGGCTCTGTGCTTCCTCAAGCGAGTCCCATCTGAACTAATGTAGACAAAGATTAGCTTTGCTTTTTCTCAGCTTCTGGATGCAGGCCTAAAAGAATTTGGCTGTATGCATCTCACTGGCCCCTACGTACGAAGTGAAGGTTGCTGGTGTTTAGGTTTTGTTAATCTTCACTAACGGGCCTCTAGGACTACAGAAGCTAATAAAGTGCCAGATGTCCTGTTGTCTCTTAGATAGGGTGGAACCAGTGGAATAGTGCAAATCTTTTCAGGTGCCAGTCTCTTGGATGACTACACCTGCAGCAGTGAAACTGCAGTCTAATGGTGTCCTAGTTTTGAGGAGGTGCTGGGTAGGTAACGGTTAACCAGAACAGAGAGTTGTACCCAGCATCTTTTGAGAGGTCACTCTCCTTACTCCCATCTGTTTGCTGCTTTGAGTATGACCTCTAGCTGCTTCTTTGAGCAGATGTTCCAAGGCTTTCTCTTGGAAGCTGTCAAGTGCAAATTCCTGAAGTCTTTTTCTGCTGCTGCTGGTAGGATATATAAACGCCCTCTTCCCAGTTCTTTCATGCGTCTTGTCTTTGCGGCCCTCCTTAAATTACTGGAGGGGGAATCACGTCTAAAGATGCTGCTGGTTGAGTGCAGCACATGCAGAGTCAGCAGCAGAAATCTCATCAGGCAGCTGGCTGACCTCCCACACCACTGCTGTCTTGCTCAGCAGGGTGCATCCAGTTTCGTTTCCCAGGACTGGGTAGTGAACGAAGGGGAAAAATCTGACACTGTTTCTCAACTAAGGGAAGGAGGGTGAAATCCATTTTTGCATCACACCACAAAAGGGTCCTTTTCCACAGTAGTAGTTCAGGAGGAAATGGCTGAAGTGCCACTTCACCAGGTCGTGTAATCTAGTCTGGAGGAACCTGAGTCCTGAATTTAGGACCAGCAGATCCAACTGCAAGAGTTCCATGCCTCAACCGTCAGACTCAGAGTCCAGGGACTGGGGATTAAGTTACTGGTCTGGATACTGTACAAACCTTGGAAAGACAGTTTTTCCCTCTCGTTAAGGTTTATCTAGTTTCATTGTTTGTAACTTGCATATGAGGTTAAAGTCAAATGTTGGTGTTTCATAAGCAAGATTATAATCTGGTTTTAAATCATAAATATTTTACTTTGGCATATTTCCACACACACACTTCTTGTAAGCATCTTTTGTTAGAATAATTGCTCTTTGCTTTTTCTACAGATCAGAAGAGCACTGTCCAGATTAGAGTAAAAAGTCTGTCCCACCCACCAAAACCTTCATGTTTCCACAATCCATTGGCAATGCTGTTCTGCTTGAGGTAGAAGCAGGGAAAAGACCAGGCTGGATGGGGCTCTGAGCAACATTATCTAGTTAGCGGTGTCCCTGCTCACTGCAGGGGGGTTGGACTAGATGACCTCTACAGGTCCCTTCCAACCCAAAGCATTCTATGAAAAAAAAACAGGGGCAGGCCCCTTCAAGTTTTATACTGATCAGTCAGCTGGTATCAGAATCGGTAAAGAAGTCTGTGTCTTTATAGGAACAGCTGAAATTGAAAAGTCCCTGAAACATCATAGGTAGCCCCGGGGACATGGAGAGGTAAATCAAGATACAAGTCAGCTATCGCACACATTAAATTACTGTGCTGCAGTGAGTGCTGCTGGTAACCTGTACTTCATGAGGAGCTAAGATTTTTACCTTTACTTTTTATTGTTTTTTAAAAAGAGGATTTTTGTACAAAACTTTCCATGAAACTTGGAGTTGCTTGTACGGCTGAAGGCTTGGAAGTCTGGCTTTGTTTCCGTCTTGCCATATTTCTACAGGTTCCTCCAGAGGCTCACAAATTTCCGTAGCCTCTGATCATCGGTGTAACTCTACTTTTAATTCATGCTGGAATTACAAAGTAGGGTCTTTATTCTGGATGACAGAAACAATGTGAATGGGGTTTCTCTCTCAGCCCATGGACTCTGTAGGTGCTGCTGTGCATGCCTTCTGCTTACCAGGGAGAGATGTGGAAGATTGGACGTCTCCTGCAGTGCTTATTTTGCAAATGAACTCTAGGATGTTTGTTTCTTACATAAAAAGAGCGATGTATTTAAAATTAAGAAATGTTAAAGTTATATATTTTATATATTGTATGAAATTTCCATATGCGTTTTGGTTCTTTTCCATTCATTTCAGAGCAGTCATTGTAATTGCAGGTATTAACGATCAGTAATAATTTGGCCTCTTGACTGAGAATTACAGAAATTCTCTGTTAGTTGTCTGCCTTACAGCAAAATATGTTTTCTGCTAATAAATTGATCCCAACAGTAAGTACTGAAGTGTATTTTTAAGTGCTTTGGGTTATTAGAAACATTACAAAGTACTTTGAAATGCTCACGCCCTTTACCAGCCCAGTGCTGTCCTTGCTCCTGTAGTCCCAGCTGTTTGCTGAGCTGCATCACCTCCCTCTGCTCTGCCTGAAGAATTTGTCTCAACACGAGACTGTGCCTCCCACCAGCCCCGGGGAATGGGCCAGGATCCCCTCCCTTGGCCATGTGAGCATTAATGAGCATTAATTCCCTCTTTGTTGTGAGAGTAAGAACTGCCTCAGGGAGCGCTGCATGAGCTGCCACCCCCGCAGCCTGTTTCTTGGTTGGAAAGGATAGAAGTGGGCGAAGCTTTGACCATCCAGCAGTAAAATTGGTCCCTGCTGCACCTCCTGCCTTGCGGCCCTGGATTGCTTGTATGGGCATCTCGATTCATAGTCACTGCAGACAGGGATCGCTGTGGTGATGGGGGCTACACCGTGTCCTGCTTTCAGCTGGGATAGAGTTGATTTTCTTCCTAGTAGCTGGCCTAGTGCTGTGTTTTGGAGTCAGTGCTAGGAGAACACTGATAACGCATGGATGTTTTAGTTGTTGCTGAGCAGTGCTTACAATAAATCAAGGCCTTCTCAGCTCTGCCAGGTGCACAAGAAGCTGGGAGGGGGCACAGCCAGGACAGCTGACCCCAACTGACCAAAGGACTATTCCATACCATATGATGTCATGCTCAGTATATAAACCGGGGGGAGAAGAAGGAAGGGGGGGACATTTGGAGGGATGGCATTTGTCTTCTCGAGTCACTGTTCTGCATGATGGAGCCCTGCCTTCCTGGGGATGGCTGAGCACCTGCCTGCCCAGGGGAAGTGGTGAATGAATTCCTTGCTTTGCTTTGCTTCTGTGTGTGGCTTTTGCTTTCCCTATTAAACTGTCTTTATCTCAACCCACGAGCTTTCTCACTTTTACCTTTCCGATTCTCTCCCCCATCCCGCCGTGGGGGAGTGAGCGAGCGGCTGCGTGGTGCTGAGTTGCTGCTGGGGTTAAACCACAACACACTGGTAGAAGAGGAGCAAGTCTGTAGTGTGAAGCAGGTGATGCTGAAGGCCTGACCTGTCAGGGGTTTTACATCCACCGAGCTCTAGCCCGGGCATGTGGACCGAAGGCCTGTGCATTAGGGCTATTCCTACCATTCATTTTCCTGTTTAACTTCATCTGAAAGGATCCACTCAATTGCCCTCCAAGACTGGCTTGTGTCACAGAGCCACAGGCAGATGGGGACAGATGGGAGATGCATTTCAGAACTGCTCTTGAACTGAAATGTCATTGTAGACACACAACAAGCAGTCACCAGGACGTGGCCAGCCAGGCTGGCAAGGGGACAGGCTTCCCAGAGCCATGTGTAGTGGGAGTACTACTCTGAAAAGCTTTGCAGGCCTCTAAATGGACTTTTTTGTTTCAGCCATTCGGCCTGCAAGCCAGGCTTCAAATACCTGTTTGGCTTTAGCTTGTTAGATCCAGTAAGCAACACTTGGAGACTAGAAAAGCAAAGGTGGCAGACGGTGCGTGCCAATTTCTAATGGATCTGGATTACTGGATGTCATGGTTTAACCCTGGCCGGCAACTAAGCCCCGCAGAACCGGTTGCTCGCTCCGCCCCCGCAGCGGGATGGGGGAGAGAATCGGAAAGGTAAAAGTGAGAAAGCTGTGGGTTGAGATAAAGACAGTTTAATAGGGAAAGCAAAAGCCACACACGGAAGCAAAGCAAAGCAAGGAATTCATTCACCACTTCCCCTGGGCAGGCAGGTGCTCAGCCATCCCCAGGAAAGCAGGGCTCCATCACGCATAACAGTTACTTGGGAAGAGAAACACCATAATTCCAAATGTCCCCCCCTTCCTTCTTCTTCCCCCAGTTTATATGCTGAGTATGACATCATATGGTATAGAATATCCCTTTGGTCAGTTGGGGTCAGCTGTCCTGGCTGTGCCCCCTCCCAGCTCCTTGTCCACCTGCCAGAGCATGGGAAGCTGAAAAGTCCTTGACCTGTCAAAGCACTGCTCAGCAACAACTAAAACATCAGGGTGTTAGCAACATTGTTCTCCTACTAAATCCAAAACGCAGCACTATACTGGCCACTAGGAAGAAAATCAACTCTATCCCAGCCAAAACCAGACCACTGCATCATTAATGAAGACGCCACATATGGCAGAGCTGAACCTTGTTCTGCACAGGAAGGTAATTGCAGGGAATTGTTGTCAAACACTTTCTGATCTTCTTTGGGATCCTTCTGCTTTCCCAGATCTGCATAGCTATCTGCTAACTGCCAGTTTTGTATGCTGCGTACATATACATGGGCAACACCCAGTCTTAAGCATTTTCAGATGCTGGGCAGAATATGGTGCTCAGTGGTTTTGCAGTTTTGTTCCCACTTTGAGGAGGGATACAAGTACAAGATATCTTCCACTGGCACCCACCTCTATCTGATAATGTGATGGATAGAAGCAGGGCCAACATAGGGGTCGTTACCTTCATGACATGCCAAAATGCTGCCTTGAAACTCGTGCGCTGCTTGTCGCAGTCGTAGACTAAGCCCACAGCCCCTGGGTGAGAAGGTGAAGGGCAGCACTGCAAAGTCTTGGCTGCAGGGAGAGAAGAGGCGAAGCACCGCTGTGCTGATTCCATGGCTGGCTTAGCGAGGCCGGGCCAGAGAAGGCTCCTCAGATCGGCTCCCTCGCTCTGAACTGGGGCTCTTTTTTTTTTCATTTTTCTGAGGAGCCAGGCTCTGCCTCAGCACGGGGTGGTCTTCCTGAAGCTACAAGACCACTGTGCATTCCCACCGCTGTTGAAGGGATGGCATGTGCTCCAGCTTTAATGGAGGTGGCACTTCTGCAATGTGTTAATCACTGGAACTACAGAGGTACATTAACAAAACTGAAGCCTTGGCAGGCTGCCTGCCTTTTTCACCTCCTTCACCATCATTGCTCAACTCTCTACTTTGGCTCTGGTGAGGTCATCTCACTGCTTTGCTGGTAAATTCCCCACCCGCCCACTCCCAGGGCAGCTAAATTTCTAACTTGGAGAAAATAATAAGGGATTGAAGAAGCCTGGGGAACCATGAAGTATTATTCACTATAGCTGAAGCCAGGCCTTAGGGACCTGTCGTACAAATGCCAGCATACACACATTCACACACATACCCCATCCCCGTCCTTTCAGAAATACCTGAGAGATGTATTTAAAAAAGTACGAATGCCACTACATTCACCTGCTGCTGGCCTTTCACTCCCATCATGGAGCAAGACAGATTTATCTAGCAAAAGAAAAAAAAAAAAAAAAAGGCAGGAGAGGAGCCCATCTTTACGGCTAGAAGTGGTATTCGCAGGAGAGCTGGGTCTTTCGTTGCAATGAGCATGTGCCTCTCCTCCCTCAGCAACGCCTGCCATCCCCTGGGAGCTGCTGCTTGCTTGCCTGCCAGCGGGCCTGTCCCCGGTGCCTCCTTCCTTGGAGCCTTTGCTGGGAAGCATGAGCCATTGCCGTCAGCCCGTAGCGAGAACCTGCTCCAGCCCACGAGCTAACTGTGGCTCTGCCCGTGACATTCCTTGGGGCACAAGGCGAGTCTGTCTGTGAATATAATTTTTTTCCCCCACACCCAGCTTTAAAATGGGGAGGAGGTGCCTTTCCCGCCCGCCGAAAAGCTAACACCCCCCCGCATGTTTGCACAAAGCTCCTAACAGATGCAGCAGGCCCTGCTGTGACAGGGGCATTTTTAAAATCCGCTCTCAACCCTTGTCAAGCCAGCTGGTCTGCAAGCGAGCTGAAGGGCAGTGCCAAAGGCGTGCGTTAGTAGAGGTAACGTACCCGGCAACTGGAAGTAAAGGGCCTCTATTCATAGGAGTTGAGCAAGTGGCTTTCGTGGCCCCAAAGACATGCTCCTGTCCTCTCTGTGCTCTCAGAAGAAATAACTCCTTTCATTAGCAGGCTGGTAGCTCTCCCCAGGAGAGCTGCACTGGGGAGCTGGGTGGGCTTTGTTTCTTTAACCACGAGGAGCTGGGCTATGGTGCCGTGACTGGGCTGGTGCCTGTCATGCAGCCAAAGGGCTTTGTGCCTGCCACCTTGGCGGTCAGCTGCTTGTAGGACCTCAGCACACTGGAGGTGCTTGCTGGCATGGCGTGGCAGTTAAAACAAGTAGATTACACGTTTGGCCATGGGACAATGGGGCTTTGTTCCCAAATCTGCTGATGGGGGAGAGATTCACAGCCCCTGCAAGCAGCACTAGCAAGAAGCAAAACCAGCACACCCAGGGAGGGAGGAGGGTGAGGTGGCACGGGACACACACCTGAGCCGTACTTCGTGTGCTGCCCCGCAGCAGGTATCTGATGTCTCAGAGACGGCCAGGGCACTGCCATGCTTTCCTGGGGCTGAGGCTCAGCAGCAAAGCCCTCCCAGCTGCTGCCGCTGCTGTACGGTGATGAAAAACAGCCAGGGGGCTCTTGTAGCAATGTTGAATTACAGTGTTCAGCGGCACAAGGCAAGGCGGATTGCTGTCTCACAGCATGTGCTGGAACACCCCTGTCCCCTGTTCCCCAGTCCATGCTAAGCCAGATGGGTGTGGGTGTTGGGGGGGAGCCCCCTCCCTGCTGTGGCACCGCTGGGCATGGCCGTAGCTTGGCCAGAGCCGAGCCGGTGCTGCAGCCCGGGCACAGGCTCTCCCCATGCTCCTGCCGCCTGTGCTGTGACGCAGCCTGAGGTGGAAAAGGTTATTTTTTTACTGTGGCTCTGCAAAGCCACTCGACGACCGCTGCCATAGGCAGGGGTTTGATTGTTTTTCCTCCTTTCGCATTCCTGGAAAGAGGGGCCAGCGCGAGGCAGGGGCTGTAGTGCGGGGCCGTGAGTCAGGAGGGCTGGGCTTGCTGCCTG